TGTGTGTGTGTGGGTGTCTGTGTGTTTTTCAGCAAGAGTTGTGCGAGCTTGCTTGCATGCATGGGTCGTGCGAACCACCGGATCGCAGGCATATAGATCGAGGCATGGGCCTGCGGTCGCAGCATGGGGACATGTAAACATGTGTTCGAGAGCACACCTAGGTCGATCAGCTCTTCTTATAAACACTCTGGATATTCGGTCCTTCTATATAGTACCGTCGCCATGGACGACACTTCAGAGCAGACTCGTTCGCAAAAGGTTCTGGAGCTGACCGATCTGGTGCATGCTTCCCTCGACTTAGAGTATACCAAAACCACAGGCTCGCTATATGCATCGAAGTCCTTGAGGCACTCGTCCACCAGAAAGCAGCTGGGCTTTATGAAAACTTTTCATTATGAAGGCCGGCTGCTCACTGAGAAAGTGACGACGTGTGTCGTGAAGAGGCTCCTCGACCACAAAAACTTGGAGCTCCCCAACTATCCCGGCTACTCCAAACGTACATGGGTTAAGGAACAGGCCCAGGTGCTGTTGTCTTTACTCCAGAAAGCCCGGCGACAATATAGTGCCATGGATCCCTCGACGATGGAGACACAAGAATGGAACCTGGATCCACAGGAGGACAGCACACGGATGCCATGTAGCCTTATATAACAGCCCACAAACACCATGCATGCCCGTATACCCAGGACTCACAGGTGTTGAAGCGGGGGGCCTCGAGCAACTCCAGTGTGGCTTCGGCGGCTATATGTTGAAGTTTGCATTGTTTGTCCGAGATCGCTGTCGGTTTTGCTTGTCTTTCCGTTTCGTGTCGATCTAAGCTGGGCGAGATTCTGCCGAGCAAGCGGATCCGATTCCGATCCAAGACGCCTCCGAATGCAACTTCGGTTTTTTCCTGAGTGCAGAAACTTGCTTTGTGCATGAAAGAATACAGTTTAATGAAGATTGCTTGTACCGATCCGAGGATCATGGAGATGGGGATCCATGGGATCCCATGGACTGGGAGTGGAAGGATGATTATGGCTGGGTCAAGAAGGATCCCACGTTTTCAGAGCTGCGGTATATATACCCTAGACTTCCCTATAAACCCACAAACAACTGTATATATTCTTTCTTCCTCATCAAAAACCCATAACAGAATCCGCGAGGAGCCATCGGATGAGGCTTGCGACAAGGGCGAGCCCGGCACAGAGAATGATGGTGATGGCCGCCAACGGTTGACTGAGGTTGTTAGTGTGGCTTCTTGGGATCGAAATATAGTTTCTTGATTGAGGGTTTTCTGTCGGGATAGATTGCTTGCATCTGAGGATGATGATCACCAGGAATGGGATTGGAATGATGACAATGGCTGGGCCATGGAGGATCCCAAGTACGAGGCTCCTTTAAATCTGAGGTTTATGGTTTGCACGCAGCAGGTTCCAGGGTGATAGCTTTATTTAAAACCCGGGCAGGTTGCAGATGACAACCACCACGACGAGGAGCCGGGTGCTGCAGGTGCCATGGCTTGGGAGTCTTGGTGCCGAATTGTAAGGTGTAAGGTTTCCTGCTGGGGGGTAATATATGATTCCGTGGACGTATCCGAGGATCGCGGATCCGAGGGCTGGGATTGGAAGGATGATTATGGATGGGTCAAGAAGGATCCCGAGATCAAGGTCCTAGCTTTGTTGATCGAGAGTGCACACATGCATATATACTCTGAATGAGCCAAAATCCCCATTTCAAGCAGGTTGCAGATGACAACCACGACGACGGTCTCGAGTACAAGAAGTGGGCCCACGAGGATGATTCCGAGGCTCCCCTGGCCCAGAGCGGCACTTAAATTTAACTCCTTAACTGCTGGGTCGTTTTCTTGTAGTTTGTGCACTTGGAAAGCAAGTTGCCTCAAGCCCCTTGCCTCAAGCCCCTCCCCAAGAACAGCCCAAAAAATGAATGCAGGAGCCGGCCGAGGGCAACAGTGGCGAGGCCAAGGCAGTGAGAATAGGGACATGGCGCTTTTGCATGACCAGCTTGCAATCGATCAGGGGGATGAGCAGTGCATCGAGATCGATAGTGATGAAGCTCGGGCCTTGCGAATTTTGAGCCCATTCCTCATTTAGAAATATCCTCTTAATGCTGTTGCACTCATTCAGCCAGGTCGGTTGGCCCGCTGAAGCTCATCATGAAGACCCGCCTCAGGCGACACCCGCACAGCTATCGATAAACACATGGCCCGAATCGTTATTTTAATTCCTGCCTAGGAAGATCTCGAGATCCTGAAAGCTTCGGATAGGGTGGATAGTGAAGCCATGGAGGTGTGCTGTTGTTGGGTGCACAGACTCACTTTTGGACCCGATCTTTCATTGTGCCAATCATGCATGTGCATGCACATGCAGGTGAACAGCGATGCTGCTGGTTGCGGTTGGCAACCCTGGGAGGCTCTTTTGGATTGCATATGATGTATTACAAAACTCTTAGGTTTCCTTTACACTTTGGCCGCTAGGAAGAACTCATCTCTTTGGAGATTGCCTCGGATGCCGAGGCTTGGGGCTCGATTGTTGTATTATCTCCACGCTGTTGATCTTTTGTGTTGATCATCTTATAGGAGCAGCAGAAGGATGATTGGGGCAAGCACGCCCAGGTGCAGCTTCCGGTTTATTATCTCCATGCTGTCGATCTTTTGTGTTGATCATCTTACTAGGAGCAGCAGAAGGATGATTTGGGCAAGCACGCCAAGGTGCAGCTTCCGGTTTATTATCTCCATGCTGTCGATCTTTTGTGTTGATCATCTTACTAGGAGCAGCAGAAGGATGATTGGGGCGAGCACGCCAAGGTGCAGCTTCCGGTTTCACATGTATATACATATATCGAGTTGGGCAGCACTATATAGTCCTGTTCAGGAAGAGCAAGCCACGGGATCCGGCGACCCCAAGGCATGAGGTTTCGCACTTAATATAAGCCAACCTATTGATCGCATGTCGAGGCCTGGGATGATGCAACGGATTGGCAGGTCTATGATCCCCAGGTGCCTGTGCTTCATTGGTTTGTCCGGAGGGTTTGAAGCTGGTCGGAACACTGCATGATACGTACAGTCCAAGGCTTGGGACCGTGGGCCCGATGATGAGTGGGACGAGGATGCCTCAGCACAGGCCGGGGTCGCCCGCATATGTTGTGCGAGTGTTGTTTCTGTAGAGTTCAGGCTCTGTTGCAAGAGATGGACGGTTTGCAGCAAACCTTTGAACGAGCCGCTCGATTAATACTAAGCTGCACTCATCAGTATACACGTCAAGTCTCGTGCATGTGTACATGTGTCGCAGGTGAAGGACAGGGCCATCGGGCTCGCCAAGGATTTCGATGCCAAGGCATGTGCTGCAGCGACTCGACATGAACGATGCTAGCTATTCTGCTAGATAGGTATACCTCTATAGTATATCTACATAGCATGGATGTATATCTAAAACCCTAAACCCTAAACCCTATAAACCCTAAACCCTACACTTCAGTATGACTCATGCAGGAAGACAAGCTCCAGCAGACTTCGAAAGCCAAGGCGACCGGCTCGGGTTTAGGATAATGGACTTAGTTTGGGGTTCAGGATGTCGGGATTACTTTTGGGTTTAGGGTTTAGTTTCGGATTCGGGGTTTCGGGTTAGAAGTTTGAGGGCCCGCTAGGGTTTAGAGTTGAGTCTTGAGTTTGGGGTTGATTTTGGGGGTTAGGCTTATAGGGTTTAGTGTGGGATTCAGGGTTCCGGGTGAGGGTTTAGTTTTGGTTTCAGGGCTTCGGGTTTATTCTGAGGGTTACGGCTTAATTGACGGTTTGGGCTTTGATTTTGGGTTGAGGGCGGGTTTCGGGTTATAAGTTTGAGGGCTAGGGTTTAGAGGTGAGTCTGGGGTCTTGAGTTTCGGGTTGACTTTGAGGGTTAGGGTTATAGGGTTTAGTGTGGGATTCAGAGTTCCGGGTGAGGGTTTAGTGTTGGTTTCAGGGTTTCGGGTTCAGTCTGAGGGTTACGGCTTCATTGAGGGTTTAGGGTTTGATATGGGTTGAGGTTTAGTGTGGGATTCAGGGTTCCAGGTGAGGGTTTAGTTTTGGTTTCAGGGTTTCGGGTTTAGTCTGACGGTTACGGCTTGATTGAGGGTTTAGGGTTTGATTAGGGGTTGAGGGATTCGTTGGGGTTCGCGGGTTTCTAGGGTGTGCATGTATACATATACACCTGCATCTCTATCTAAACCTAGATATCTGTATATAGATATCTAGGTACATTTGTACACATATGTGCATACGTCGATGCATGTGTGTGTGTGCACATGTCCTCATGTTCATGTCGTGCATCAATACCTACCTCTAGACCTTTACCTTTTTTTCTAGCTACCTACCTGGTACACTTACAATATATAACTTACCTACCTACTTATATATATCTATACCTACTTAGATCTATATACCGATTTGACCAAGATATCGACTTACCTATCTACCTATATACCTCTAATATAGCTATACCTACCTACCTGGTACACCTACCTTATACCTATATTGACCTACCTACCGACCTTATATATATATATATTTCATACGTATATATACTCTGTATATATATTTGTATACTTATATACGTACACCTATACCTATGCATACCTTATTTTAAATACAAACACCTGCCTATAAATAAACCTTTACCTACGACCTACCTACCTCTTTACTGCCTGCCTGCCTGACTGCCTGCCTACCTACCTATACCTACCTATATTCCTACCTATAGGAGAGAGGACTGTCGGGTGTTTTCAACCCCAAAGAGTGCTAGATCCCGGTATATGTCGTCTTGAATGAACCGGAGATTGCAAAAAACATGTCACGGCCCCGCGATCTGAAGTTAAGATTGGAACATAACTAGAGACCGAGCGGCATGCCATTGTGTCCTTAAGCTCTTCATGCGAGCATCGACATGCGAATCGATCATCCCGCGATTCTTACCTATACACCTACCTACCTACCTATACCTACTTATACCAATACCTATACCTACCTACCTATACCTACCTACGTACCTATAGCTGCCTACCTACCTACCTATACCTACCTACCTACTTACCTACCTACCTACCTACCTACCTACCTACCTACCTATACCTACCTACCTACCTACCTACCTACCTAATTACTTACCTACCTATACCAACCTACCTATCTATATACCTACCTATAAAAAAAAATCTATACCCACCTATACCTACCTGGTATACGTATACCTATACCTATACCTATACCTATACCTATACCTATACCTATACCTATACCTATACCTATACCTATACCTATACCTATACCTACCTACCTACCTACCTACCTACCTACCTACCTACCTACCTATAAAT